TCTCGCCGGGAATGTGATGCGGGCTGGGAATCCTGCCGGGCCAGGCATCTCCCCTGCAGGGCAGCAGAGGCCAAACAGCAGCTTCAGGGGTCTCCTTTCCCTGGACTGTTCTTCCGGTCGAGCAAGGCTTCGAGGCAGCTGGTCTCCTGCACAAAACCCTCTTTTGCATTGGCAGCGCTTCTGCACCTTGCCACAAGTAGAGTAAGTTGGATGGGAAGGGGCCGCTCCTCAGCTGGGCACTCGGGCTCTGCACTGTGGTCCCCCCGTGCTCCCTCTGGGAAGGCACCTGAGATTAAAGCAGCGCCAAAGGCTATGGAGCCTGGATACAGCGGTGGCTGAGGATTGCTTGTGCTGCGCCTGCCTCTCCATGTATTTGATCTCTCGACTTCCAGCGGGGACTGAATTCCTGTGCTGGATTCTGGGCTCGGCTCTTGTGAAAGGATCCAATTATTTTAGAGCTTTGAGCATCTCCATTTGCTGCCCATATTTGCGGCGCGCTGGCTGGAATTCCAAGTGATTAACGTGGCTGTGACATCCCTCCTAGGGGTGTTATCTTTTCTTGCTGTCCCCCACCGCCCCCCTCTTCCTCCTCCGGCAGCGAGCGAGCGAGACAGGCAGGCAGAGACAAAGGTCTGTCCTCAACCTGGGCTGTCCTCCCAGTAAGCAGCTGCTGCATGGGATTTCCCTGCCCTGCCTGCTGCAGGTTTCCTGGGCTCCCGGTCGAACACTGGAGCTGGGCAGCCGTGGGCTGTATCGCAGAGGTTTGAACCTGCTGGGCTGGGTGGGCAGGGGGTGCTGCCGGCTTTGGAGAGCTGCCCAATTGTCCTGCCGGATTTTAAGCTGCTTTTCATTCTTTGACTGCGCTTTCCTGCGAAGAGGGGCAGCCGTGCGTGGAGGGGAGGTTGGTGAGAGGGGGGTTGGACGTGGGGGAAAGCTTTACACAGGTGGCTGTCGCATAGTGGGATCTGCCTGCAGACCTATAAGCCCCCCTTCCCAGCTGCAGGCTATTGTCAGCATCGCCGTCTGCACGCCAGGCACCTGGGGAAGGTGTGCGGAGGCGATCCATGCCAGGACGAGGGCATCAGAGGGACAAGGGGTAAGTCACTGGGCTGGGAGCTCTGTTCCGGCTCCCCCAGCTTCCCGGAGAGGTTTCATTGTGTTATCCTGACTTGGCCGAGCARAAGGGCTCAGTCCCTGCGGCACCTGTGTGTGGGGCTGGGGAGGGCACTGTATGTTGCTGGGCAGACCTCAGCCCTTGAGGAGGCTGCTGCAGCCTGGACCCCCAGCAAGATTCTCTGCGGAGAGGGCTGCTCTGTCCCCGGGGGCTTCTGCACCCCGTCAGTGCCGCCTCCCGCAGGATGGGAGGGGGCAGCAGCACCTCACGGACACGGTACTGCGAGCAAGGGAGGTGCTGGGTCTCTCTCTCTGTAGAAGCTGTGTCTGGTGGTTTCTAGGAGCTCACATTTGTGACATGGGCACTGCCTCTTGCCCTATCCATCCCCTCTGAGCTCAGGCTTCCTCTCTGTTCTTAGCAGGGGCTAGTACTGAGTGAGGCTCTGCAGCTGCATAAATCTGGCATGGCAGGAGGCCTCCTGAGGACCCTCGAGAACAGTACTTGCTCTTGCAGTGGGGCAAGGATGCTCCCTCCCTCTGTATCCACTCCCGCTCTCTCTCCTTTCTCCCTCTTGTCTTCACCAAGTGTCAGCTCCTTTCACCCCAGCCTAAATTCCAGCCAGAGCCATGGCCAGTGGTCATCTTTCCTTTCAGGCACAGTTTGCTTTTCTGGCATCTCACTAGTCAGCTTCTCCCTGGGGTTGCCACCTCTGCTATGGTCCTGGAGGTAGTCCCCAGCCTCACGTGTCTGTCTGTCTCCTGATGGTGAGATGCCTTATCTGTCAGACTGTGCAGGAACCCTTTTCTGGTGGCAGCATTRCTGTTAGTGCTGCCATCCTTCAGGGTTGTGACAGAAACTTTCTGCCTGCTGGCACTTCGGAAGCGCTGCTCTTAGCCTGTGCCAGGGTTTGTGCTCACACTGGTTAGATTTCCTTCCTTCTCCTTAGGTTCAGATAGGACCAACGGAGCTGTCACTTATCCTCTAGACAGTCTGTCTCCAGGAGTTTCTCTTGCTTTGTGCTCTGCGTGTTTTGAGGATATTTATTTGCCCTCTTGTAATGATGGCCTTTTTTCCTGGCTGTGTAGTTCCTACTTCACCCCCAGTGAGGCTGCCGGTATCTCCGTAGCACTTACCAGGAGAGGGAGCAGGAGAGAAGGTGGCAGCAAAAGCTACTTAGGGATTGGTTTGGAGTATTTTTTGGTCTAAATTGTGCAAGGACCCCCTTGCCAGCCCCCGGTCTGGTGCTCTGTCCCAGGCTGCAGTGACCAGGTCAAAGCCCCTTGTCCACGGGTCATGTGTCCCTTTTGACTGGCTGGCAGTGCTGCTCTAGGAAACCACTGGATGCCCCCTGGATCAGTGTGGCAACTTGGGGCACAGTTCGTGCTCYTTGTTACACCAGTGCTGTGATGCCAGCCCTTCCAGGCTCCCAAGGGCTCTGCCCCATGACAGATACCTCTCTGCTCCACATTCATCCCAATTGCTCTCTGGCTGTCACAGCACAGCTCAAACAGCAACAGATCCATTTGAAGGCTSGATCCTTGCATGTGTCACCAGTGCTGCAATGCCCAGCCGGGGACCCTTCCTTATCCACCATCCTGCTCTGTTGCCTTCAGACTGAGACCACGCTCTGTTAATCCTGGTTTACCCCTGGATGTGCTAACAGGGGAAGCAGAAGGTTAGCCAAGTGCCTGACCCAACCCCATCAGGCCTGGCTGTGTGTCAGGTTCTGGTGGCTCAGTGTCCCCAAGGAACACAGTGTTTCTGCCCCAGTGCCTGGGACACACTCCCTCCCTACAGGTCCTTTGGCACTGGGTATTTCTTGGGTGTTGAAGCGTGGTGCCCTTCCCGAGGCAAAGAAATAGAGGAAAGCTGTGCCTGGCATAGCTCCAGATCCAGGTGCTAGGAGATCTTGGCAAAAGCACAGGTCYGACCTGCCTGTTTTCTGAGCAATGAGAGGGCCTTGGCAGGAGCAGGGCAGAGAGTGGAGGACCTCTGGCTGGGCCTCCCTCAAGAGGCAAAGCTCTTTGAGCCCTATCTTAGAGCACCAGCATGGGCTGAAATACTGTCAAAAAAAAAAAAAAATCAGCGTCACGTGGACTTAGGAGGGGCCAAACCCTTGGTGTGGGCACGTGGAGCCCCATGTGCTGTGTCTGGGGGATGGGATGTGTGCTGCTCAGCTGAGTTGGAGAGGGCCTGGGCCTGGCTCTGTCCCGTCAGTGTGGCCAGAATCAGGGCTCTAGCATGCCTGGCTCAAGTGGAGGAGAAGGCAGAGGTGACCAGGTGCTTTCCCCCATCCCTGCCTGGAGTGCAAGAGGCCAAGGTCCCAGTGTTGCTGTCCTGATCTGTGAGGAGGTGGTGGATTCCCACGGTGCTGTCAGAGGCTGAGCCCTGCTGTGAGAAGGATGGGCTCCCAGCAGAGAGGAGGTGCCCTGGAGAGCACTTGGGATTGCCAGGAGAACCTCCCTGGGACACAGGGCCTTGCATCTCGAGGAGGGTGAGAAGCAGTGCTGTGCCCTRGCTGCTCTCCATCCCAGGCTGATGGGCTCTCCTCCTCCAGAAGAAGAAGGTTTATAAATATCCTCTCTCCTTGGAGACACTTGGGATGACACTTCTTGTYCCTGCCATGGGGCTGGCATTTTCCAGCACAATTCTTCAAGCAGCAGTACCAAGGCTGGCAATACATGGTGCAGCCCCTTGTTCTAGGCATGTGTTCTACTGGCTGGTGCTGGCAGCACCTGATGACTGGTGTTGAGGGCTCAGCTGGGGTGGATTTGTGATGTCAGCAGGTCAGCCTGTCCTGATACATCCACTCTCCTGGAAGGCAGCTGCTGCTGGGGAGAAAATGGCTTTGACTTCAGAGGGACATGGGGAAAGAGAATGAAAGGATGCAAGTGAAGCTGTGTATTTTTTCTGGYGTGAACACACCCTTTCTTCCAATGCACCAGGCTGATTCCTGCTGTTGGTTGCTGATTTTGCTTCCCAGTGGTTGATTGTGCCACACAAGTCATGGTACAAGTCTCCCTCAGAGACAGAGAAGGGAAACAGCGACCTTTCAGGCAGGCAGAGCACAGCATGTTAGACTCAGCATCCACCCACAACCTTCACACAATGCAAGGGCATTCACTTGCTTTCCTACCTGCTTTGGTGCAGGCCTCGTATGGGGTGCCGGGAGGAACTGGTCTTTACAAAAGGTGTTTGTTGGGGTTTTGGACCCATGGCTTGTTAYGCTGCAGCATTGATTTGCCCTGCTGCAAGTGCTCCTTGGGTGCTGTTGTATTGAATCTCAGCAGGTCCTGTACTGGCTGGTTGCTGGCAGTGCTCTTCCCCAGCAGTGGCAGTGGCTTTTGAGTTGTCCAGCTCTCAGGGACTGGTCATGACAACCTGTAATTACAAACCTTATTGGAAATGTGATGAAAGAACAGCCTGTGTTCTGGGGTAGGTGAGGTCAGGCAGCGAGCACAGCTGGTGCTGGCTTCCCAACATGCACGTTGGGGGGATGCAGAACTTGCCAGACCAGRGTGTCACAAGGGGATTGCATTGAGTGTTGCCGCTTCTGAGCATCCATTTGGGATTTTGGTTCATCTGCCTGGCCTTCAGAGCAGTACTCAGTGCTAGCTTGGGGTGCCCAGAAAGTGACTTGCCTCTGATGGGTGCTGCAGTGAGTCCCCATTTGAGGGAATCATGGAGAGGGAGGTAGGGAGGGCGTGATCCCCAGGGACAGGCACTGTTTTCTCCTTCAGCTGGAGGTTCCTGGGCTGGCAAAGCCCATGGGCTGCCTCTGCCAGAGAGGTGCTGAGGCTGTAGGTGCCCTAGGGCTCCTGCCCACTCTGAAGGTGTCCACCATGACCTGCTGCTTGAGCTGACTCTCCTCCATATGTTCTTCCAGGCATCAAAGCTGCAAGGCCCATGGATTATGACCACAGGGGAGCTGTGTTGCATCTGCAAATCTGTGTTGTGCATTAAGGGCACATCTGAACAGGTGAGTGCTGTGCACATGAAAGGATTGCTGTCTTTTTGCTGGGGAAAACTAGTGGGGGGCCATCATGACTCAGGGCTGTCAGACTCCTCATTTCTGACAGACATCTCTTGGAAGAAAACAATTCCAAGCTCTTCTCCTTATCTATAGGGCCAGAAAGTGTCCTGTGCTGTGGGTGGAAGGGGGAGGAGGTGAACATGAGACCAGGAGCTAGATGGAGGCCCAGAGGTTGCYGCAGTGTGTTGGAAAGCAAGGCATGAATTGGTCGCCAGAACTGTTCCTATATGCAGGGTTTCATACAGGAAGGCATGCAAAAGGGATGTAAAATCAAGCCAGGTATGAGAGTTCACAGCTTAGCTTAAAATATTTGTGGTTTAAATGAAAATCAAGGTGTTAGCACTGTCTGAGATGTATGTGGTTCTTGATTTGGGAGGTTGGTAGAGTCTGAGCCTAAATGCTGCCTTCCCCACCTGTGTGACCTTGCAGACAGGCAGCAGCCCCTGCCCTTCTCCCAGGAAGCATCTGCATCACCCCAGCCCTGCACCTCTCCCCTTCCTTCCCCTCAGAGCTGCTGTGGACACTGAAGAGCTGGAGAGGACGTTGCAGAGGTTCGGAGGCACACCGTGATGGTGGGAGCCATTCCACGGCAGCCACGCCGCTTCTGGGGGGTGCCTGAYTGGCAGGTGTCTTCAGCTAATTGTGCCAACGACTGCCTGCTGCGGGGCAGGGAGGTTAATCCGGAGCARAGCAGGGTCCTGCTGCAGAGGGGTAAGTGTTGGGGGCAGCCAGGACAGGCTGCAGTGCTGTGGGCTACACAGAGGGGTCGAGGTTGGCAGCAACATCTGGAGGTTTTCTGGACCAGCCCAACCTAGAGCYATTGTCCAGGACTGTGTCCTGATGRCTTCTGAGTATATCCAAGCATGAAGACTCCACAGTCTCTCTGGGTAACTGGTTACAGTACTCAGTCACAGTAAAACAAAATGGTGTTTTCTGATACTCAGAGGAGCCTCTTACATAGACATATAGATATATAGATATATAGAAATCTATAGATAGATAGGTAGGTAAGATCTCACTGAGCCTTTTCTTCTCCAGGCTAAACAGTCCCAGCTCTCACAGCCTTGCCTCACAGGACAGATGTTCCCATCCCTTAATTTTTTCTTAGTGTCTCTTTATTGCACTCTGTCAGGTGTGGTTTAACGTGTGCTGAGCAGAGAGGGAGGACCAGTTCCCTCAAACTGCTATCAATGCTTTGCCTGCTGCACTATTGTTTTTCTTTGCTGCAAGGGCACATTGCTGGCTCATGGTCAACTTGTTGCCCACCAGGACCCCCAAGGCCTTTTCTGTTTCGTTGCTTTGCAACCACTCAGCCCCCCCCACTCAACATATCCCAGTGCAAGGTTATACCTTTTATCACTCCTTTTAAACAGAATTCCTGGTCTCAACCACCTTGGCCTGCCATTTTCCTATCCCCACCCCACCAGGTTCAAGATAGCCTCACTCTCCAGATAGTCTTGATCCACTTGGGGAATCAATTTCYGTGTCCCTGACTTGCCTCTAAGCCCTTGTGCCACAAGATCAGGCACAGTTAGAAGGACAGGCAAAAGGCAGAGCTGCCAGGCTTAGGCAGTTTGTCCTCAGTCTGCTGGTGACTTTTCCTGCATCTGCTCAGCTCTTGCAGCCCTTTCAGTATTTTTCATGCCAGAAGAAAAACAATGTGTGGACAGGATTCTCACAGCTCTCAAACTGGGCTGAAAATCAAAAGTGAGGCACCACGCAGCCCAGAGGAGGTCAGGCCCTTGGGGCTGGCAGGAGTGGGTGGATGGTGACCCTGGTGCCTCCCAGCTGCTGATGGAGGTGCTGGAGGTGCCTGGTCCAAGCAGGCAGAGATAATGGGGGTGTKAGGCCAGGCTCCTGTCCCTGCCTCATTCAGTGCACGTGGCTGGGATGGGTTGGCTTGGCCAGCACTCGGAGTTGCTGGGGTGATTGCAGGCCTGAGCCCCTGGGACTGGTCTGACCTGCCTGACTCCTGTGCTGCACAGCCCCAGCATGTCCCTGGCAGAGGGCAGGCCTCTTCCTCCCCGCTTGTCCAGACTTGTCCCCACGAGTCTCCTGCCTGTCTGGAGACTTCTCTCCTTGCCCAAACTGGAAGGAAGTGCTGAACCTGCAGGTGGGTGATGCCGCAGGGTTTCCCAGAAAGCAATACCAGCCCGGTTCCTCTTCCTGTCCCTGGAGAGGGAGGTTCAAGTGGGGCTGTGTGAGGAGCTGCCCATATCTCAGTAGGTCACTTGCAGCCAGAAGTCTGAATGAGGATGGGGATCCCAGGCTGATCTTCATCCTTCTGCTTTCTTTTTTTTCCAGATGGTGTGCTGCAGAGCACCTCATAGTAGAAGGCTCACACAGAGATCCTGAGTGAGAGGGGGTCCTGCCCTTACACCCTGACCTGTGGCACTTTACAGTCCCCCTCCTGCATGGGCTCTGCTCGGAGTCCCAGCAAGTGAGGCTCCATGCGGCACATCCACACAGAGACGTCTCTGCCCCCGGAGCACAGCACAGACCCCAGCCTGTCCCGGCCCAGCAGGGAAACGCCCTTGGAGCCTTCCTCGCAGTGCTGCACCCACCGCAACATCCTCATGGGCTACAACGAGACAGAGATCAAACGCCAGAAGGTTTACCAGGTGTCCATCTTCTCCCATCTCTCCAGCTCCTCTGAGAGCACGGAGCAGAGGGCAGGCACCCGGCCAGCTGTCAAGAGGGGATACCCCGAGCAGCGAACTCCAGAGGGGGGACGAGATCCCAAACGAACTCACTGGGTTGACAGGGGGGTGGATGGGGGCCCTGGGCAGCCTTCCCTGGATGATGACGATACCTTTGAGGATGGTCTGCTGGTGGAGGAGCTCTCTCTCTGTGGCTCTGCCCAGCACTTCTCCCACAGTGGGCTGCGAGTGGTGGAGCACCGCTGTGAGGGCAGCCCTAGCCACAGCCCCAAGGCTAGCAGAGAGGACAAGTTGCAGGATATCTCCACTTCCTCCTCCTCCTCCTCCTCTTTCCCTTCTTCCTCCTCCTCTTTCTCCTCCTCCTCCTCCTCCTGGCCCCGGCACATTGCTTGCAGTACTTTGCACATGCGAGACAGTTGCCCTGTCTCATCAGGGGATCAGCCCATAGACTATGGAGAGAATGGGGAGCCGGCAAGTGGCCACAATGTACTTCATCTTGAATTGCACGGTATTGCACAAACAACCCAGTTGGACTCTGGTGGGAAGAGAGAGAAGCCAGGGAGCAGCCCAGCTCACACCAGCAGGGCTAGTGGAGAAGCAGACAGGCCAGCAGTGACCAATGGGTGCAGGGAGCCCCCAGCTCCACAGACAGTACTCAGCCCTGAGCCCAGCAACCTGAGCTCCCAGGAGATGACGCCCTGTGGGAGCAGCCAGCTCTGCAGCACTTGCCCAGCCAAAAGGAAGTTGCTGCCTGCTGGCGAGGTCATGGCCGACTCCTGCTCTGAGGATGAGAGCCTGTCCCCACCAGCAAGAAAGAAGAGGGTCCTGCCATGCCATCCAGTACCCACAGCCTGCCGCAGCACTGATGCCAAGGGAGCTCCATTCTGGAATCACCTGCTTCCTGCAGCCAAGGTGAGCATTGGTCATGGCGGGTGGCAGGGAATGGCCTGGGACTGAGCTTTTAGGCAGTGTGGTCCACAGAGCTCGGGACTGTCCTTTTAGGCAGTGTGGTCCACTATGGCACCATGTCCTGTCCTGTCCCTGAGCTGCAGCACTGGTGTGAGCAAGGCAGCAGTTGACAGCCCTGTGACATATGGTCTATTTCAATCAGCTCTTGATGTTTTATAGTCACTGCGTCCTCTGCTTGTGACCAGCTTTTCTCCTGGAGAGATTTGCTTTGACAGAAGACAACCTCCCCTGGCAGTGAGAGCTGGACACATTTAGTGTCTGATGGCTTTGTCTTAAACCATCATAGATCAGCAAGCTTGGGACGAGCAGCTGGCATCTGCCTGCCTGATGAGGAGGAAGGCAGATGTATGGGAGGGCTTGAACTCCTGGCCATTTAGAACAAGGATCTGGTTGGTGGCAGGCAGTGGGTCTAGACATGCTCTGACTGAGGAGCCCAGTATTGCGCACAGAGATGCCACAGGCTTTTCTGCCATTCTGAGCTGCCTGTGGCATGTCCCCAAGGTGCCACAAGCACTCAGCAATGGGGCAGACCCCTGCAGTTTTCAACCATGTTGGCAGCTCAGGAGCAGCCTGTGATTCCTTTCTTACCCTGCCCTTGTGACCAGGTCCCTGTCCTGCCAGCTGAGGCTGTAGCAGGCTCAGGCCAAACCTGGCACAATCTTTTTCTCTGGGGTATCCCATGGTGCGGGGACACACAGGAACTGATGTCAGAGCTACCCTGGCTTCTTGCTGCTTGGAGCTGGGACACACCATCCCTGGGGCACAGCTCCATCACTGCCTGCCTTTTTCGTGACTGTCCCCCAGCCCAGCTGCCCCCAGCACTGTCCTTGCAGAGTGAAGCCCTCCAGCAGCTTCCCTGGGTTTTGCCGCCCGGTCATGCCAGCCAGCTCCATCGTCCCTTTGTGTTGTGCTGCCCTTTGTGTGGCTTCCAGAAGGGAAAACCCCTGAAAAGGGGACATCTTTAAAAGGAGGCTGCAGTGTGGCTGTGGCTTTAACCCCCCACCCCACAGCTGTGGGCAGGGGTGGGCAACGCACCCCTCTGCTCAGTGGCACTGCTGAGGACTTTGCATGAATCACCAGGGGACAGAACTCTGCCCAGGCTGGTCGGGGGTCTTCCTTGTAGGTGTCACCAGTCTCTGGGAGGTGCAGGGGGGTGTCATGGCATGGCTCTGTCTAGGGGTGTCTTGCTGCTAGGGCTGTTCCTGGGGCCTGCTTTGTAAAGCAGGAATTGTGTGTTGTACTCTTGGGTACCAACACCCTCATCCCCAGCTGGGCCACTTTGGGGCTTGGGCCCGCCCATGTCCCCACCAGACAGCCCAGTCCTTATGTTGCCCTGCTGGCCACCCCTGCAGAGGCCCACTGATGGCTGGCTGCCCATGGACGGGAGCTTATTCCCATCTGCTGGGACCCTCATGGGAATGTGGGGTAGGGCAAGGGGTGATGGCACCCCCAGGGATACGTGGGCCCTGGTTACTGCCCTAACGTGGTTCTCCATTTTTGTCCCCTCCAGAGCTCTGCAGATTGCACTGCGGTCGGGAGGAGACTGAAGAGTGGGCTGCGCCTCAAATCGTGAGTGTCCTGGCAGCCCTGTGGGATGGGCATGGGGGCTCAGGGTGCCTCCAGCACCCTGCAGTCCCATGAGAGGCTTAGGTTGGGTCAAATCCTCTTCCCTGCCATGGCCCAGGCTTCTCACCCACACAAGGCCACAGGCTATGGGGCATTTCTTCTTCCCTTCGGGTGTAGGAAAGTGGGTTCAACGTCCAGCAAAGGTACGGGGCACCTGGAAAGGGATCCACATTCCCAGGGACATGAACAACCCAGGGCTGCATGCTCTACAGTCCAACATCAATCTTCTCTTCTCACTCCAAGGCGACATCTCCGGACCAGCCTCCGGAGGGGCACCAGGTCCCCCTCAGCTCCCTGGGCCACCACCACTGTCAGCCATGCTCTGCTGGGCAACTTTGAGGTAACGGTGCCCACTTGCTGGGGGGAGATGGATCCTGGGGTCTCCACACTGGGCTGGCGATGGGTGTGAGAAGCTGAACCTGATGGGAGCCCTGGTGTGGGACTGGGTTGACTGTCCCCAAAAGGCCTGGCGTGCAGTGGTCACCACAGAGCCACCACCCATCAGCAGCATGGCTCAGCCAGCAGATCCTTGGGTGAGGCACCAGGACTGTGGAACCTGCTGAGATTGCTGCTGTGAGGCTGAGCTGAGGCACTCTCACTGCTTCTCCCTGCTAGATAACATATGGTGCTATCCCACTAGTTGAGGGTGGGTCTGTCTCAGAGTGAGGTGTCTGGGCACACGAGGACAAGCAGTCACCTGGGCACAGTGAAGATGGGGATGACTTCACACCTGGAGCATTGAGGCAGGGGGTAAGACTGGTGTGTGAGGTTCCCTAACGCTTCCCTCCTCTCTCAGGAGTCCATCCTGAAAGGGCGCTTTGCACCATCGGGGAGGATCGAGGGTTTCACGGCAGAGATAGGTGCCAGTGGCTCCTACTGTCCCCAGCATGTCACCCTGCCTGTCGACGTCACCTACTTTGACATCTCTGAACACAGCGCGCCCTCGCCTTTCCTGGTACATGGATGTGGGGGGAGGTGAGGGGGGCTGTAGCTTGGCACCCTGGGGCAGCCCTTCGCTGTAGAGTGTGGCTCAAGCACCCACCTGCTTGTGGAGATGGCTGGCTATGCCAGTCTTTAACCCAAAAAACAAAATCAGGGAGAAGAGGGAAAATACAAAGGTCCAGCTACCTCATGGTTGTCATTGTCATCACCTGTCTTGTCACCTCTCTGTTGCTGCTCTTGGTTTGAGCGGGAACTGGAGATCTTCTTACTGACTTGTGCCAGGTGTTGCCAGTGACAGAGTCTCAGGCCCAGCTGGGCTCTCCCTCAGCTTTCTCCCTCTCTCACATGCTGTTTATTTTGCTGCAGGGAGTGATTGACTTGGAGGCCTTGGGAAAGAAGGGTTACAGTGTCCCCAAAGCTGGAACCATCCAAGTGGTGAGTCATTCCCTGGCCTGCAGTAGCATTGTGGGGATGGGGCTGGATGGGCTCCAGTTGCTCTTCTTGGGTGGGTATGCTTCATTATGTTGTTAGGCAGGACACTATTTGGAAAGCTTGTGCAGAGGGGGAACATGGCCACCAAGACACCACAGCAGAGGGGAGCATAGGGTACCTGGGGTGCTGGAAGGGAGACAAGGTGATTAGAGATGCAGAGAAGGAAGAGGTTGGTGAGGGTTTTGGTAGGAAAGTGTGTGAATGGGATGTGATGGGAAGGGAACACAGGTGTGAAGGTGAGTGGAAAGGACTGACCTGTGACACGGGCTAAGCCCTCTGGGACTGGTGTGGGGCTTTCCAGATCCATGGGCCAGACTTTCTTCTCCCAGATGCCCCATCTCTGCCCTGTATCCTTCCCAGTCTCACTCCTGATCCCTCTGCCCCCAGACCTTATTTAACCCCAACAAGACTGTGGTGAAGATGTTCTTGGTGACATACGACTTCCAGGACATGCCGGCCAACCACATGACCTTCCTACGCCATCGCATCTTCCTGGTGCCCGTGGGGGAGGAGGAGGGGTCTGCAGTGGCCCCCAGCGACCCACTGGGCACCAGCCCACCCCGCAGGGTCCTCTGCTACCTGATGCATCTGAGGTAAAGCGTGCCAGGAGGGATGGGCATCTGCCCCAGGGTCACCCCTGGGCTCCTCTCATGTCCTCAGGCATGTCCCAAGCCTGCAAGACAGGAGGAGGGACTGGAGAGAAGCAGCAATCAGCTGCTCCTTTGGGGAGGTTGGAGCTGCTGCTCTGCCCAAGGGCAGTTGTCTCTGTCCCTCTGAGGGCAACCTTGAGCAGGGGGCAAAGTAGTCAAGGGGGTTTTGCCCACGCTGAGGATGCCCTGTCCTTGCCCGGGAGCCTGAGGTCTATCTGTTCTGCTCGTCTCCACACAGGTTTCACAGCTCCAAGTCGGGGAAGATCTACCTTCATGACGACATCCGGCTGCTTTTCTCCCGCAAGTCGATCGAGGTGGATTCGGGGATCCCCTACGAACTGAAATCCTTCACAGAGATGCCCAGGAACCCCTGCTACTCACCCCGGGCCTGACCTCCTTCATCCCCCCGCTCCCCAGGGCCACTGGGGAGCCTCCAGCCCAGCACTTAGGGGAGAGAGAGATGAGTAAAGGGCCAACAAGCACTGCTTTGAGATACCACCCACCCTCTTGACCAGCACGGACACCACGCTCTGCAGCAGGGCGAGGATCACCCCAGAGGGGCAGGGGCTGAGGAGCAGTCCTGGCACTCCGGGGACATGCCCAAGCCTTCTGCTGGCACTGTCCCAGCTTGGAGACTTGGGCTGTGGCTGAGGTGGGTGGGTGGGGAGTGAAGACTTGACCTGGGGCTGTGGGTAAGACGACCCGCACTGGTCCCAGGTCTGGGAACAGAAAGTGTGGAAGAGTTTGTATTTATTAGTATTTATCGTTGCTGGGAGCACAGAGGAGGCTTGTGCAGAGGATCAGAGGTGCTGTGCTTGTTCTTCCCCACAGCCCTGCCTGCTCTGGGCTGCCCGTGTTGGGGCAGGGCTGTGGGGACTGCAAGGGTGACTAGGGCCAGGAACACCTCAGCCCATGGAAGGGAGAGTGACACRCTGCTCACCCAGGGTGACACACAGCTCCCAGACCAGGGCTGAGTTAAAAGCCCTGTGACAGACTCAGCCTTGCTAGCACCAGCTCTGCAGGGCCAGTCCAACTCCAAGCAGCTTGGGGTTGTACTGGGCTTGTCTTCTGAGTGTTCTAGAGGAAGCCAGACCCTAAGAGGCCTGTGGCTGTCGAGGAAGTGGCCACTGCCAGGTTCTTGAAGGTAAGAGACACAGCTGTCACGTGGATGGGGACCTGGGGCTCTGTGCAGGAATATGGGGATAGCCCTCTGGGCAAGAGCCTCCAGAGCACGTGTGCTGTGGATCTGAGAAGATTGCCAAAAAAAAAAGGAACCTTGCACTGTCTGCGGGTGTTGGGTGAATCCCATGCAGGAGGCAGCTTTGGCAGAGGTCTGCCGGCAGCGTGATAATGTGCAGGAGGATGGGGAGGAGTCCCAGCTTAATCCCTGGGAAGCAAGGAAGCAACAGAGGACATCAGACTCTGGGAATTGGGCTGGATCCTCAAGAGCAGAACTGGGGATGATCCAGAAAGGGGAAGGGGTTTAGGGTAAAAAAAGCTTGCACATCCGTGTCTGTATCACCCTTCTGCCCACTGGGGAGCCTCAGCCCCTCTGTCAGAGGGAGGAAGAGGGGGACAGGCCCCCGATCCCATCAATCCTCGGCCTGGGGCTGAGACTCTGTGTGTGTGTGTGGGGGTGGGCCAGGATGGGGGCTGTGTGGGCGAGCTCCTGCTCTCTCCTGCCCGGTGGGGGCCGAGGGCTCTGGCCCTGCAGCACTGGGGGGATGGAGGCCCTGAACCCCTCTCACACCGGGGGTTACTACGCCCAGACCCGAGTCCCTGAACCCCTCAACACGACATCTGCATCGTCCCCCAGCCGAGGTCTGAATCCCCCCCAAACACCGGGGGGTCTGAATCCCCCCCAAACACCGGGGTTCGCTCCCCACACCGCCCTGGGCCGCGGGTCCCGGGCCCGCCATGACACCCGAGTTGCCCTCGCCCCAGGTCACCGGGGCTGCCCCTCTCGCCGTGGCGCCGCGGGCTCGCGAAGGCCGTGCCGGTACTTTTGGTGTTCGTTTCTTATTTAATAAACGTCCGTTTGGAGCTCCAGAACGAGCCCGAAGATGCCGCTCCCCAGGGGGGGCGGTGCTGAACCGGGAGCGCCCGGAACCGCGGGCGGGCGGAACCGGGAGCCGCGGCCGGAGGAGCCGGAGGGAGCGGTGTGGGCGGCGCACCCGGAAGCGGCGCGGTCGGAGGGGCCTTCCGGGGGTGCGGGAGCGGCGGCGGCGCCGAGCGGGGCGGGCGGAGGGGGCGATGCTGTCGCGGGCGGGGATCCGGGCCCGGCCCGGCCTCGGGCTGCTGCAGGTGCGGGGAATGGGGTGGGGGGGAACTGGGAGCGCTCCTGGGGGGATCCACGTGGGGGAGGTTCGGGATAGCGGGTGCTGGACGGGCCGGGATAAGGGGGGATGGTGTTGGGAGTCTGGAAAGGGGGGGTGAGTTGGGTAGAGACGGGGTGAAGGGGTCGGAGGTGGGCGTTCAGTGGGGTGGTGGTTTGGCGGGTCCGGGGAAGAGAGGAAGGTGAATTGGGTAGGGATGAGGATACGGGGCGGCGGGTTAGAGGAGCTGTGGACAAATGGGGGATTGAGGAGATGGCGGGTCTGTGGGGTTGGGGGTTCAGGGAAGGGCTGGGGGGTGGTTGGAGTAGGGGTATGGGGATACGGCGGCGTGCAAAGGATAAAGGGGTACGGGGCAATGAGGGACAGTCGGTGTGGGGAGCGTTTGGGATGCGGTGAGGTGCTGGAGGTGTGGGGGCTCGGTGTGGGAGAACTGGGTAGGGACGGGGGAAGAAAGTGCAGTGGACAGACGGGTATGGGTGATAGAGGGAGGTCAGTGGGGTGGTATTGGTGATCTGGGAAGAGTGGGGCAGGAATAGAGGTGAAGGGCAGGGCAGTGATGTACTGGACAGACAGGCTTAGGAACACTGAAGAGGGGGGTCAGAGTGGGAGTGTTCCTGTGATGGGGAAATGCTGGGGTGGGGGCAGGAGGATGGACAGGGATATAAAGAGGTGAGGGGGTTGGTGCAGAGGACAAATGGGTATGGGAGGAACTGAGAAGGTGGTGGTCAGTGAAGTGGTGGTCTTGARGGTTTGGGGGACACCATTCATGGGGAGGAGCTGGTCAGAGGAGGTGAGAGGAGGAGGTGTGCAATGAATGAGTGGAGATGGGAGGGACTCAGAGGGGTCAGTGGGGGTGTGTTGGGGGTCTGGAGAAGTGCTGTGGTGATGATGGAGAGCTGGGCAGGGATTGGGATATGGGGGAGTTGCAGTCAAGGCTGTGGATGAATGGATATGGGGGCATTAGGACAGGGTGATTGAGCATTGGGAGTGGTGAGATGGGGCTGGGTTGTTGGAGGATAAATGGATGTGTGGGGCTGTGGAGGTGTGAGCTGGGTTGGAGTGTGGGGACGTTGAGGGGAGCTGTGTGAGTGAGAATCTATGGGAAGGATGGTGGGGGGATGCAAAGCTTTGTGGGGAGCCCATGAGGCAGCTGGAGCTGGGGAGGGACAGGTTGTTGTTGAAMGGGGGCAGCCTGGGTCTGAGGCGAGGGAGAGGGCTGAAGGAAGTGGGCCTGGCCAGGTCATAGGGGCTGAGTGGGGTAGAGGAGATCCACAAACAGACCTTTGTTGTCCTTATGGTGGCAGGAAGGCTTTATTCCCTGCTCCAGGATGCATGTGAGAGGAGCAGAGATATGCAGAAAGCTCTGGTATGGGAGTGAGCMCCCCTGCACCAGTGGAGAAGACTGTCCCTGGGGCCCAGGCCTATCTGTGGGAACACCCCTTGTGACCTTACAGCATGGGCTCATCCGGGGCATTGTTTGCTGCCCTAATCATGAGCCCACATGGGGTAACAGGTGTGGAGCTGGGCTCTGAGGTGCCAGCAGCTGGCCTCAACCCTGCTCCATCTGCTTCCCCCAGCACTCCCAGCAGCTGAAGCGTGCGGCACAGCTGGCCCCAGCTCCGTGCCGCTGGAACTCTGGGCTGCCTGTGAACATCGGGGTGCTCTTTGTGCCGCAGCAGGAGGCCTGGGTGGTGGAGAGGATGGGCAAGTTCCACCGAATCCTCGAGCCTGTAAGGAGCAGCTTTTCTTCCCTTCTGGATTCAGCAGGTTCCTAAAGCTGTAGCGAGGCGCGTCCTTTGCACGAGGATCCAAGGGCTGGTGGGCTTAGCTTCCCAGGCTGAAATCCTTTTGGCTGCCTGTGGATTAATTTTCCTTGGTGGGGCATTAAAAGCACTGAGTAACTGAAATTCCCTGTGTGTAAAATGTGTTTGCAGTGTCTGGCATGGGCTTTGTTTGCATGACACTCTCTAGCCTGTCTRTCAGCAGTCTAATCAGCCCTTTCCCTAGGGTTTGAACTTCCTCATTCCTCTTCTGGATCGGATTCGTTACGTCCAGAGTCTCAAGGAAATCGTCATTAATGTCCCAGAGCAGTCAGCTGTCACACTGGGTGAGGAACAGCTTCCATGTCCTACCCCTTTCCTTCTACTGCATCTGGGGTGAGCAAGGGACAGTGTGGGGATGAGTGGAATTGTCCCAAGCTCCCACATTCAGCCCTGTCCCTTGGTACCCAGGCTTGGCCATAAAATCACAAGATCACTGAATGATTTGGGTTAGAAAGGACCTTAARGTTCATSTCATTCCAAACCCCTGCTATGGGCAGGGGCASCTGCTAGGCCAGGTTGCTCAAAGCCCCATCCAGCCTGGCYTTGAACACTTCCAGAATGGGGCATCCACAGCTTCTCTGGGYAGCTTGCTTCAGTGCTTCACTGGGAAGTGCTTCACCACCCTTACARGTGAAGAATTTCTTCCTGTTATTGAATCTGAACCTGCCCTCTATCATCTTAAGGCCATTCCCCCTTGCCCTGTCCCTCCATGCCTGTGTGAAAAATTCCTCTCCAGCTCTCTTTAGGTGCTGGAAGGCTGATGTGAAGGCTATGAGTAGGGGCACCCCAGGAGGTGCTGCCTGCTGTCTCTGGGCTGCAGCTGCCCCTTCTTACTGAGTTGAATGTACCCAGCTAGGARTACATTTTTCAGGTGCTTTCCTTTACTGAACCACAAGGGATATTTCTGTTTCTGTAAAAAACATTTTCTAACAGGTTAATGGATTTAACGTTAATGGATAGTTCTGTTACATTTCTAGTTTGGAGTGGTTTGGTTTGGCTTTTTTCTTCTTAAATCTTTATTTACACAAGCTATGGTATGAAATGCTTCTGGAAAATCAAGACCTGTTGTATAATAAAACATCACAGGGGTTTTCAGCAAATATAAGATCCTTTTTACAAAGCCTTTAGATAAGGTCATCTATTTTAGCCAATCCTCTTTTGTGCCATGCTGCTATGCCAGGATGGAAAGGGACAGCCCCCTGTSCAGCTGTGCTGGGGAAGAGGGGGTTTCCATGCTTTGTTTTTTCTGCCTCAGTAAACAGGGSCTGTTATTCTCTCCTGACAGATAACGTCACCCTGCAGATCGAYGGTGTGCTCTACCTGCGGGTTATGGACCCATACAAGGTACTATCCGTGCCCCTTGCACACCTTTCTCTTGACTCTGCCCACTCTCTGCTCCCCRAGCTGTGTGCTCTGGCCTCTGTGCCCTGCCTAGCAGGTGGGCTGGGCACTCTGACCCCTCCCAAGGCTCCAGACTCCACATTTTCAGCAGGGGTGTCAGGCAGGTTTCTTGCCTTACTGCTCTGTTTGACGGTCCTGACTTGTTCAGGATCCTCCCTGGCACCCCATCCACTGTTTTGTGCTTCTGCTCTTCAGGCCAGCTATGGGGTGGAAGATCCTGAGTATGCAGTGACTCAGCTGGCCCAGACCACCATGAGATCTGAACTTGGCAAACTCTCCCTCGACAGAGTCTTTCGGGTGAGCTGGGGGAGGTGGATCATGGAGCTGTCAGTGTCTCTCAAAACCCCAGGACAGCCTGCATGCCAGGCTGATGTGCTTAACAGCARGATGCCTTTTGCTAAAAGAGATTGTGGCTTCTGTTTCAGTTGACCTATTGGTGAATCCTTGGAGATGGGTCTTGTTTCGGTTGYTTTTTTAACAGGAGCTATTTTTTACCCTGCCCTGGGTTGTTTGGAAGGGATGGTGGGTGCCATGTGCCCAGACCCAGCTGGTCCAGCCGTGTTTCTCTTGAGTCAGTGACTCTTTGCTCAGTTTGAGTGATGAATGCCCCTGACCTGGGTCATGGAGTACCATAATCCTCACGCTGCATTTGCTGACTAGAAACTGGAATTGTTGGCATTCTGTTGAATCCAGATCTAGACTAGGTGTATCTCAGCAGCTTCTGTGTGATCTTCTTCACCTATGAGATGGTGACCCCTTCAAGAGCTGTGGGAAGCACCTGGCCCTGAGGGAAGATGGAGATGTGTTTTTCTGGCAGAGCCTGGCCTGGAAGAGGGGTAGTCTGTTTGCCTCCTGACACCTCTCTTGTGCTAAGCCCCTCTTCTCTCCATCTTGTGCCTCCCAGGAGCGGGAGTCCCTCAAYGCCAGCATCGTGGATGCCATCAACCAGGCTTCAGACTGCTGGGGCATCCGGTGTCTACGCTACGAGATCAAGGACATCCATGTGCCCCCACGTGTGAAGGAATCCATGCAGATGCAGGTGAGGTYCTCTGTGGGAAGGAGGTCTGGAATGAGAGGGGAGCATCCTCTTCAGCGCTGCATTACAGAATCACAGAATCCACAAGGCTGGAAAAGACCTCAGATCATCAAGTCCAATTTATGACYAAACACAATCTTGTCAACCYGACCRTGCTWTYAAGTGCCACATCCAGTCTTAGCTTTAAAACCTCCATGAATAGTGTCTCTTCCACCTCTTTGGTAGCCCATTCCAATGTCTAATCACCGCTTCTGTTAGGAAGTTCTTCCTAATGTCCAAGATAAACCTTCCCTGGTGCTGCTTAGGATTATGTCCTCTCATCTTGTTGCTGGTTACCTGGGAGAAGAGGCCAACCTCCATGTGGCTACAGCCTCCTTTCAGGTAGCTGTCAAGAGTGATAAGGTCACCCTTGAGTCTCCTCATCCAGACTAAACAACCCCAGCTCTCTCAAGAGCTCTTCATCAGACTTGTATTCCAGATCCTTCCCCAGTTCCACTGCCCTTCCCTGAGGGCACCAGCACCTCAGTGTCCCTTTTGAATGGAGGTGCCCAGAAATGGGCACAGGTCTTGAGGTGTGGCCTCAACCAGTGTTGAATGCAAGGGGAGAATGACCTCCCTGGTCCTAGTGGCCACACTGTTGCTGATACCAGCTATGATTCAGTATTGTTTCCTGTCCAGGGCTGGCAGCACCCACCCCTTACCTCAGGAGGACACTTTGGTTGCAGACATCTACTGAATAAGTAACTCCTGTCATGATTTTCATGGTGGTGGCCCTTGCCTGCTACATACAAACCCTGACAGCTCCCATTACGATCCTGGCTGGGCTTTGTGGGGAAGCAAATCCCACAGCTGAAGGTGAAGGTCTCGCCTTGAGAAAAGCTGGGACACCAGATCTCCAGGCTGGAAGGGGAAGAGAGGGAAGCAGCTGTTCAGTTAGGTGCAGAAAGGAGTGAGAAGAGCGGTGTGGTGTGAGGAGCAGAACCAGCCCTCGCCAAGACCTCACTCTGTTCTGTAGCTGCACTCTCATGCTTTGCTAAGCCATGCTTGCCCCAGCAGGACAGAGGAGGATGCCCTTGCACCACGGATGGGATTTCACCAGCACAGCCATGACAGGCTGGTRTCTGATCTGTGATTGCAGGTGGAGGCTGAGAGACGGAAGCGGGCGACAGTGTTGGAGTCGGAGGGCACAAGGGAGTCAGCTATCAACGTGGCTGAAGGCCAGAAACAGGCCCAGATCCTGGCGTCAGAAGCTGAGAAGGCTGAACAAATCAACAAAGCTGCTGGTAGTGCCTTGGGATCTGTAGCCCTCTGGACTGAGGGGTGTGGTGCTACTGGGGAGARACCACATCACTGTGGGACAGGCTTCCTCAGCCATGCTGATTCTTCCCTGCTGGGGCCTCAGGCTGAGCACCAGCTCATGTTGCTGCCCCGCCCCAGCCTCCGTCAGCAGGAGGCGTGTGGCAGTGCTGCTGTTGGGGAAGAGACAGCCATGCCTGCGTGAAATTGTCTTGATTCGCTCCCTGAAATGGTTGAGATTCACTCCTTGCAAGCACTTTGTCACGGTTCTGACATGCTCTGCTGTGATTCATTGCAGGAGAAGCCAACGCCATGCTGGTCAAGGCCAGGGCCAAGGCAGAGGCAATTCAGCTCCTGGCAGCTGCTCTGTCACAGCAGGTGAGCAGTGATTACTTGGGGCAGCTACTGCTTTGGTGCTGGCAGTTGGGGAGGTGGAACTGCTGGTGGGGCAACACGTGGCTTTCTCCTGGACACTGCCTGGCACCTTTGGCAGTTGCAGGGAGTGAGGATCTTTGCAATGCTGGAGCTGTGATCACCTGGGGTGGGCTGGGGATACAGGCTGTTGGGATGACATGTTGGTGATATGTGACTTGTCCCTCTTTCCCTAGCACGGCAATGCTGCTGCCTCCCTGTCTGTGGCAGAGCAGTACGTGAATGCTTTCTCCAAGATTGCCAAAGACTCCAACACCATTCTGCTGCCTGCCAACACTGGGGATGTCACTAACATGGTTGCGCAGGTCAGTGTAGTCYGTTGTGTCCTGGGCTGCACCCAGAGCACTGGGCACCGGGAGGGAGGGGATTCTGCCCCTCTGCTCCGCTCTGCTGAGACCCACCTGGAGCATCCAGCCCTGGGGACCCTGCACAGGAGGGACAGGGACCTGCTGGAGCCAGTCCAGAGGAGGGACACCACAATGAAGGATAGAACACCCCTCCTATAAGGAAGGGCTAAGAGAATTGGGATCGCTCAGCCTTGAGCTGCCCCAGAGAGACATTGTAGTACCTTCCAGTACCTGAAAAGGCTTTACAAAGAAGATGGAGAAAGACTTTACACGGGCATGTAATGATAGGATGAGGAGGAATGGCTTTGAACTGAGTGAGTAGRTTGGGATTAGATACTAGAAATAAATTCCTTCCTGTGAGGGTGGTGAGGCACTGGMACAGGTTGCCCAAAGAAGCTGYGGGTGCCCCATCCTGGGAAGTGTTCAAGGTCAGGTTGAATGGGGCTCTGAGCAACCTGGGATAGTGCAGGGTGTCCCTGCCTGTAGCAATGGATTAGGAAAACAGGATCTTTAATGTMCCTTCCAACTCAAGCCMTTCTTTCTCTCACTCAAGTGARTCTTGCTCTGGGGAGGTGARGAGGGCATTGTGCTGGGGCCTGGCCCTCGCTTCCCCATGACTGTCTCATTCCCTCCAGGCCCTGGGGATCTACACCACACTGACCAAGCCACAAGCTGTGAAGACCCAAGATGAGATGCCCTCTGCCCACGAGAACTCCCAGCCTCCTGCYGCAGAGGTGCTGAAGGCAGAACAGGGCAGCTCCAGCTAACAGGGCTGGAAGGATCCCGCACCCTCTCCCGAGGCCTGCCGGCAGTCCTGTCCTGCTGCGGGCAGTCGCTCTTCTCCCCTTAGTCCCTATTTTGTATTGGATTTAAATCATGTAATAAATGATRACAGTGCTGCTGCAGCACGTTCCCTCGTGCTCAGGTGCCTGACCCCAGCATTCGATGTCGAAGGGGGTCTGTCCCTCATCAGCAGGCTCCTGCCGGGATCTTCAATCGACCTGCAGTGACATGCAAGAGTGAAAAATTAAGATACTATGAAAAAATTCTTCTCTGGCAGTGGTGAGGCCCTGGCACAGGTTGCCCTGGGAAGTTGTGGCTGCCCCATTCCTGGAGGCATTCAAGGYCARGYTGGGTGGGTTCCTGAGCAACTTGGCTCACAGCAGGGGGGTTGTAACTAGATGATTTCAAACGTGCCTTTCTGATCCAAACCGTTCTATGTTTCTGTGAATTTGGGGTCCCCACTGCTAGGAAGGCTGCCCCTCTCAGGGTGTCACTCTCTGGGACTGAGCTCCTGTTATCATCCCCTCAGTCATCTCCCAGAAGCTGCCCCTCAGTGCGTATCTGTGCGTTCTCTGTAGCAGGCTCCTCACAGGGCGCACCACACCTCTGCTGATTAATTAATCCATTAATTAAAACAACATCTTGGTTCTTAAGTGTGCCTCGCCTGAAGGGAGGCGCGTGGAGACCTCCCAGCCGCCAGGGGGCAGCGCCTCCCCACGGCTCTCCCCGCGGTGCCGCTCTAGCGCGGTCGGCGCCACACGCGGCGCTTCCGGGGGCGGCGGGCGCCGGGAGCCGCAGGTGGGATGGGACGGGAGCGGGGCCCGGGGGGGAAGAGGGGCTGTGAGGGGCTGTGAGGAGCCTGCGGTGTGGAACGGGGCCTAGGGGCGCGGTGGGCATGAGGGTGGCGCGGATATGAAGAGGCGGACCGGGAGCTGGGGGTGCAGGGGATCGACTCTGAGTATCAGGGGAGGACCGGGAGTGTGTGAGGGGGACTGAGGGTGCCGGGGAAACGCTGYGGATGCCAAGAAGGTGCTGGGCAGTCGGGAGGGAGCAGGACTCAGCTCCCGCTCAGGGGGCAATGGAAGGAGTTGCGTGGGACGGTTGCCAGGACACGGCGTGGGACCAAGTAAAGTCAAGTCGGGGTGGTGTCAGGGCTGATGGGGGTTGCTGCGGGACAGGCGGGTGTGGGAGGTGTTTGGCCAGGGGTGGGTGCTGGCAGGGAGTGGTACCTGCCCAGGTAGAGCCGCTGGAGGCTGAGCCTGCGTGTCCTTCTCTCTAGGATGCAGCGATGGCCAGTGGTGCTCTTCCTGGCCTGGGTTTGCCTTCTCTTTTTTGCTGGTATCGGGCTCTTCATGAGCGGCTTTTTGCTTACACGGATCGAGCTTGCCAGCAGCAGCTCCTGCTCAGACCCACTCGTGCCACCACCTTGGGAGAGGCAGAGCCTCCCGCCAGGCTCCTGCTGGGCACCCCAACGCTTTTCCAAGGCTGTGCTTATCATCATTGATGCCCTTCATTTTGAGTTCGCCCGCTTCGACCCTGCCAAGGTCAGCCCGCTGCCTTACGAGAACAAGCTGGGTGTCCTGTACCAGCTGGCCACTTCCCAGCCCCGCCATGCCCGTCTCTACCGCTTCCGAGCTGACCCCCCCACTGCCACCATGCAGCGCATCAAGGGTCTCACCACCGGCTCGCTGCCCACCTTCATCGATGTGGGCAGCAACTTCGCCTCCTACGCCATCCAGGAGGACAACCTGCTGGCACAGCTGGTGCAGAACGGTGCGTTCCTGGACTTATGCTCAGACAGGGGAGTTTCAGGCTAGATATAAAAAAMTGATTTTTCACAAGCATAGGAATAGGTTTTGCACGAAGATACTGAAGTCACCATCCCTATAAATGCTGAAGAGGCTTGTGGATATGGTGCTGRGTGATGTGGTTTAGGGGGTTGTAGTGGTATGTGGATGATTGGATTGGATAATTTTGACAGCCTATTTCAAACTTGATGGTTTTGTGATTGAGGATGTTCAGCCTGGAGAAGAGAAAGGAGGCCCTATAGCAACCATCCAGTATCTGAGGGGAGCCTATAGAGAAGCCGGAAAGGAATTCTCTTTCAGAAACTGTAGTGATAGAGGAGAAATGGGTACAAATTGATAGAGGAGAAATTTAGATTAGATATTAAGAAGAAAAATTCTTTACTATGAGGGTGGTGAGACACTGGAACAGGATCCCTAAGGAGGTTGTGGATGTCCCAGTGCTGGCAGTGTTCAAAGGCAGGCTGGATAAGGCCTTGAACAACCTGACCTAGTGGGAAGTGTCCTTGTCCCTGGGAAGGGGCTTGGAACTAGCTATTTAAGGTCCCTTCCAGCCTCTTAACATTCTGTGATTYTGCTCTGTGTGTACGGGTGAGTGGCCCACTGGGACAGGGCACATGCAAACCCTGGCTCTGTTTGACCCGTATTCAAAACCTTGATTCCTTTCTCCTTGGAGAGGGCACTGCTTACAACAGCTCCACCCTGTGAGCTAATTCTTTTGCCCTGCTCAATGACAGTTACCTAAGGCAGAGTTGTYAGGCAAGCTGGGTGTCTCCAGCTTGTGCTGGGAGTGAGAAGTAGCTGTGACCATGGCTTCATCATCATCATCTTCAAAGGTGATGAGAAAGSAGGTGAAAATGGCTGCACTTAAGGTGTTTGTCACAAGGTCACCACCAGGAATGCCTGTAGGAAACCAAGGGCACTGGGTCGTGTAGTGTGAGGCACATGATGGGGGAGGAGCCAGGTGTGCCAGGTGGTGCCAGGTGTGCTGTGCTGGCCAGCTGCCTGCAGCTGTGAGGCAGTGACCTCATCCCACATTCRGTGTAGTTTGGTGCTGCTGGGGGGTGCTTAGTGCAGCTCTAAAGGGCTTTTTATGGTGGGATAATGGAGTAGAGGGAAGTGGACAGACCACAGTGGGCTGTTGCCTAGAGAGACTTCCCTCCRAGGCTTGGAGTGGGCTAAGGCAATGTGGCTTTGTGTCTGCTAGGTGGGCAAATGCAGTAAATCATCTCAGGCAAAATGCACCAGTAGATCTTGTGCCAGAGAAGCAGCCTCAGAGGAAAGAGTTCCTACTCCCAAACTGGAGAGGCTCTGTGGAAACACAACTGGCTGGACTCACTCAGCAGAGTGAGGGCAAAGGGAAGCCTCAATGTTTTTGCCTTCTCTTTCCCGTATCTAGAATACCATCACCATTGTGTTTAAAAGCCAGAGCTCAGGGCTCGTGTCATCTGTTTCATCGTCTGCTGCCTTGCATTTTGCAGTGGGGTCACAGGCCTCATGTGAGGGTTTGTCTGCTTCATACTGCACCCCCCTGCACCCACCTGTGTTTTGGTGGCCCAAGAGTCATTCTGCAGGGGTGATGTTTCAGGTCAGGGATGAGTCGTGAGGTTGTGCAGTGGATTTGGGATGAGGGCTACTCATGGGCTTAGAGACAGGGCTGATCCCTCCCTTATTCATAGTCATTTACAGCCAGATGGTGGTTTTAGTTTCCGGTCAGTTTTGGGTGTGAATTGGAGAGGAGCCATTGCTCTGGACCCCGATGTGAGTCTGGCCATGCTTTTTTGCATTGTTTATGGTAACAGCACAGCACAGGCGGGCTCCGTCTCTCATTGGTTCCTTTCTCTCTGGCTCAGGAAGGAGAGTGGTCTTCATGGGTGACGACACGTGGGAAGGACTCTTCCCAAAGAAGTTTTTCCGCTCGTATTTCTTCCCTTCTTTTAACGTGAAGGATCTTCACACTGTGGATGATGGGATCCTGCAGCATCTCTATCCAACTGGTAAGCAGCTCTTTCACCRGGGCAAGGACAAACCTTGGTCTAATGTGGGCGTCCTACTGCCARTTTGTAGTAGGGCTAAATTTTTTTTTCTATTACTAAGAAGCATTGTGCAATTACACACCACTGCCCAAGGATAACAACGCTGTAGCTGCATTTCCACAGATAAGCCAGTTCTTGGACCCCACAGACCATTTCTGTAGATATGTTTTCTCTGTCTGGGATAGAGTTCAGCTTCTTGGGATGAGGGTAGACTTATACATCTGTCTTACAATATACACAGGCAGGATGGAGCTGGAGGAGCAGCTTAACTTCGGCACATGCCTGCCCAGGCAGGCACACAATGCTTTGGGGAAAACGCAAGTTAGAAAGCTGGGACACAGCACTGCTCTCAGCAAAGCATTTGTACTTGCTAGTCATGGGAAGAAGATGAAGTGTAAGATTAATTTGTGAATTTTAGGTGATTTCCACCTCCCTGAGGTCCCAGGACTGAAGGAAATGCTCTTTCCTGTTCCTGTGTGTGAATCTAAGGCTGCAGTGGTCTTTCACAGGCGAGTCTATGTGCCTTGTGAGAGAGCTGCAGTCCATCATTTAACTTCAAATATGCTGGTTTTTGTGTATCAAGGCCCTGAACAAGAGGGAAGAGACCAGGGTAACTTTCTAACTAGGGTCCGTGTTGCTGTGCCAGGCCCATGCTCTGGGCGGGATGCAGAGGGGTACATTGAGGAATCCAACCTAAAACATCTCCMGGTAAAGAGGGGAGTTCTGGGTTCTCCTCTTCAGGAGCGTAGCTTTGGTTTAGCTCAGTTTGTGGCAGCGAGATATGTTCAAGATGACTTGGGTGACATTGTACTGTTCCCCTCCTGAGGATTGGTGAGGGAAAAACAGGGATCCTGGGATGCTTTCCAGGTTTTGAGGTCCCTGTGCTATCACACCCAGGCACCTGTGGCCAAGAGTATGCCTCACTTAAAACCTGCATTGATTTCCTCAAGAGGTGATAGTGGCAGGACAGGAAGAAACAGCAAAGTTCTGGCAGGAGGATCCAGGTTTAGAATCCCAGGCTGGTGTGTGGTAAGTTTGCTTTTGTTCCGCAGTGGACAGTGGTGAATGGGACGTGCTGATTGCTCACTTCCTCGGCGTGGACCACTGTGGGCACAAACACGGACCTGACCACCCCGAGATGGCGAAGAAGCTCACMCAGATGAATGAGATGCTCAGGTGATTAGGGTGGAGCTGAGGGGTTGCCAGCTGGCCTGTTCCTTCAACTAGACTTAAGGGGTCTTCCCAGGGAATTTACAGATGCAGAGGACAGCAAGGGGATGCTTACTGAGCCTGTTGACATGGAAAACAGCTTCAACCAGCAGCAGCTGGAACCCCCACTATGGGCAGTCTTGCTTGCATAGATGCATGTTGAGAGGTTTGGTTTCAGAGGTAGGGCTGCCTTCAGGTCTTGGAGCCTTGGTTCTCTACCAGACCATCAGCTGATAGTGCAGCTGGAGTACAACTGAGCCTCACTCTTTGCATCTTTAACATGGAGATTGTCCTACTGAGATCTGGCTAAAATTTGAGAAAAAGATGGAGCACCCTGGCTAGGGAATGAGTACTGCTAGGGAATGAGTACTGCATTTACCACAGAGACCTATAAGTTGCACTTTGGAGTCAGAGGGCAGGATGGGATCAAGAAATTTCAGTCATGCAGATGTGTCTCAGCCCAAAATGCTGCAGCTTTTGATACCTAGGACTGCTTGAAGTTTTGCTGCTAGAAGAAATTGRTAACTTGTTCTGCTGTATCTGAGTACTCAGTATATATTGTGTCATACCTAGTGCATCCTTCAAGGACTAATCCCATCTCTTTTCTTTTGAAGTGGGAGGTGACTCACATAACATGATATATGACCCAAAATAGAAGCAGCCTAAAATTTTGTACCTGTCAGGAACCTTTCTTCTCTATTTCATTTTGTCAAGATCTCTGAAGACATTGTCTGCTGGTGACCCAAGCAAGATCTGTCCACTCTGTCTTAGGGCTCTGAATTTTCAGTTCAGCTTTAAAGCACGCTGGTCCCTGGCTTAGTTGTTACAGTTCTGCATCAGYGTTTAGTTTTGCTCATACCCTTTTGTGGGCTTCACCTCTGTGGTGCAGGCAGGCTTGGGGGCGGGGGGGTGTCCTCTCCCACTTGGGTTAGTTGGACCCTTGCCCAGGGAGGAGCTGACCTTTCTTATCTCGGTGACAGGTCCTTGGTGGATCACCTGGGGAATGACACTCTCCTTCTGGTGGCTGGGGACCATGGCATGACAGAAACTGGAGACCAYGGTGGTGACAGTGAGAAGGAAGTGAACGCAGCGCTGTTTGTGTACAGCAGGACACCCCTTTTTGGCAGTGGCCCTCCAGAGGTGAGAAGCAGGCTCTTACTTATCACTGCATTAGTTGGCATTGTTTAGACTGAGAGGGATGGGGAATCCGCTGTAGAATCATGGAATATGTTGAGTTGGAAGGGACCCATCAGGATCATCAAGTCCAACTCTTGGCCCTACACAGGACCCCCTAAGAGTCACACCATGTGCCTGAGAGCATTGTCCAAACTTAGGGAGCTCTGTCAGGTTCGGTGCTGTGATCCCTTTCCTGGATAGCCTGTTCCAGTGCCTTACCACCCTCTGGGTAAAGATCCTTTTCCTAATATTCAACCTAAACCTTCCCCATTGTCCTCTCGCCTGAGTGAAAAGCTGCATTGCTGTGTTGCTTCTGAATTTCCAATTCCTTCCCTGTCTCTCCAGGAGCCTGAGACCATTCCACAGGTGAACCTGGTGCCCACTGTGGCCCTGCTGCTGGGTGTGCCCATCCCATACAGTAACATTGGGGAAGTGATGGCTGAGCTGTTCTCCGGGGATGGTGACACTGTGTCTGCAGCTTTGCAGCAGCTGTCAGTCTATCACATCAATGCCAAGCAGGTAYGGCCTGTGCTAGGCCTCCCATTGAGCTGCAGTGGAGAAGGAATGGGTTTTTAAGCACAAACCTCTTCTGTTAGGTGGAGGTGGGATGGTGATATGCTTTTATCTTCATGGGGAAYTTATTTTTAAGCATTTCATCCTTGCAGTGTTTGATCCAGTAAAAGGCAGCAACATTTTCCCCAAAGAGAAGTGAGAGCKACCTGTTTAGTGCTGTGGTGTGGAAAATACTGTGTGGGAAGGTGGAGGAGGGTTGGAACCTAGATGGTCAGAGGCAGATTTGGTAATAGGGGACACTGTTTCCTCTGGTCTGAAGATGACCAATAGCAAGTGTTGTGATTGGAGATTTGAGAGTAAAAGTGGAGGTTTTGATACTGCTTCAGTTTTGAAGGAGAAGCATGTTAACAAAAAAGCTATTCTAGATTAGTGAAAGAAGGAAAATAGTAATGAAGGACTAAATGAAAGAAATAACCACATACCAGGTAATACTAAAGTAGGATACTGAAGGAGCAATTTACACAAAGTGCAACAAAATACAGAACCACAGGAGCAGAATGACAAAATTTGAATGAGACTGSTGTTATTCCTCTACACCAGGTATGAAAGAAGCCTAAGCATTGGAGCAGGCTAAGTAAGAGCCTCTGTGGGTGATGTGAGGGCCGTCTGTTGTGGCTCTAGTCATGCTACAGAGCCAGATTTGCCACAGCCATTGCAAGGCAGGAATCTCAGCTAAGAGCCAGTCTGTCTTTGAGAGACTCTAAATTGCTTGGAGCATAGGAGCAACTCCTCCAGGGCCTAGTCACCTCCTTGGAGTGCCTTTGGGATGCCACTGGTGCAAGCCAGTGAGGAGCTGGAGAGAATATGATTGCTGATGGGAAGACAGAAATATTCAACCCCTCAGCTTTGTATTTATAGAGCAGCAGAGTGCTTTGACATTTAAAGTTCATAATGTGTGTTAGTGTCCATTGATCACTGAGGATATCCGTCATCATCTGTTAGAAATTGCATTATCCAGTCGTGCCTGTTTAAATATTTGCGCTCATTGTTTGAGAAGGTTTCTAGCTTGATAACAGTGGTGTTGAAGAAGCCATGGTATTCCAGGGAGGACTGTGAGAGAGCCAGTGCATGTGTCTGCCATCCATGAGCAAGGGCAGACTGATTCTGGAAGGTGTGTGAAGTTAGGGGTGTATTTCAGGACTGGAGCAGATCTAGGCTGCTAAGCAGATGGATGTATGTGCAGGTAGTCTACCCTTCTAGTGCCCCTGTAAGTCTTCTTTTATGACTTTGGGATCATAGCTGCCTCTGTTCATGTCTTCTTGAAGTAGAAAGCAAAAAGAATGACCTTTCCTTAAGCTGTGGTGCACTGGATTAATGTGCTAGTTTTAAAGAAAAGGAAGCAATTTGGTTTGATACACTATAGCCTTTTTAATTTGATGTTTTTCCTCAGACAAAATTGCAAAACTCAATATGGGATGCATATTTACAAGTCATTAATAGTAATGACTTGAACTTCTGGAGGACATTTGCCTTATTGCTGCCAAAGACTCTGTAAAAGTCCTTATTGATGCACAGTGTTATCARAGGTGTAGCTGCAGGGGTCAATGTMGCTATTGGGATGGATGCATTTGAGAGGGATATTACTTTGGCAGAGAGATTGAGTTTCCTGGTGGTGATATCCTGGATTTGTGTGACCAGCACTGGGTGATGTGGCTGGGGACAGGTCTGCTCTGGCAGGATTTGGTAAATTGGGGTTGGTCATTCTGAAGAAGCAATGTGAAGCAGTAAATCCTGTTTGCAGTGTTCCCAGTTCTGCTATCTGATCCTGTGTCCCTTCTCCCACAGGTGGATCGCTTCCTGCAGTCTTACTCGCTGGTGGCTCAGGACCTGCCAGCAGAGCAGCTCCAGCACCTGCAGGAGCTCTTCTCCAGTGCTGTGGAGGAGCACACGCAGCTCCTGGCCCAGGTGCAGGGGACAATGTTGGTGCCTCCAGAGCTGGAGTCCAGGCTGGGAGGCCTCATCGGTCGCTTCCAGCGCTACTTGCGGGAAGCACGGGCTGTGTGCACCCAGTCCTGGGCCCGCTTCCACCCCCTGCGTATGGTGGGGGGCTGCATCCTTATTGCCTCCTCCTGCTTGCTCTGCTACATGGCCTCAGAGCTGGCCGCATCCTCACACTCTTTCTATCGCAGCTGCCTGCTGTACCCACTGCTGTGGGGCCTCGTGGGTGCTGCTCTACTTGGGCTGGCCCATGTTTTCACCCAGGAGGAGCTGGATCTGCTCCTGGTGTCGTCATGGGCAGCTGCTGCTTCTCAGCTGGGTTTTTTCTGGCACTGGTGGGGCCAGCATCCCAAGAGAACCCGTTTAGCAGGCAGTCAGCCACCCTTGGCCAGCAGTGGCCCAAGGCAGAGGCTGCGAGCATGGCTTAGGCTGGCCTTCCCTATGGGCATTCTGTTCTTCCGCTGTGGAGCTATGTTCTCCGACAGCTTTGTTGTGGCCGAGGCACGGGTGGCCCCATTCTTGCTGGCCTCTCTGGTGATGTTGTTAGTAGGGAAGCTCCACTGGGATGGTCGCCTAACTGTGCCAGAAGGTCCCAAGCAGCAGCTCCTTGGCTTTTCGTCTTACCGGAGAGAGATCTGGTACCTGCTGTGCCTCGTGGCCATGCTCCTGGTCTGCGTGCGCCTCTCCAGTTTCTTCCACCAGTGCCGTGAAGAAATTCCTCAGTGCCGGCCCTCTGTTTTCCTCTCCCCGCTTGCCAGCCTGAGAAACACACGGGCCAAGAACCTCTTCTACCTCCTGTGCGTGGCCTTGCTGGCTGGGCTGGTGTATGCAGTGCAGAGCTGGCTAAGGCAYTACGGCAACCTGAACAGTTCAGACCCTCTCGTGCTCTTTGTGCGCTGGGGTTTCCCACTGGTGGTCCTCTGCATTGCCTGCTACTGGGCTGTTGCCTCCAGTGCTGATGACTCTCTTGGCAAGCTTCAGGAGCTGGTGCAGGTGGCAGTTATTGTCTTTCCTTGGGCTGTCTACGGACTAGCATCTGTGGGACTGCTGCTCCTACTGTGCAATCCCATGACGGTGTTCGCAAAGGACACTCGGGAGTCGGCAGGATCCATCGTCACACCCTACCTGGGGGTTCCCAGCTCCGAAGTTGACTTCCTCCACGTCATCCCTCAGATCTACAAGAGAATGCAGGAGTCTCAGAAGAACCGGCTGGAGCGGGGCAGCTGCAGAGCCACCGTTGCAGCATATGGGCTGGGCAGCGTGTACTCRGCAGCCCTGGTCATAGCCCTCACCCTCCTGGGCTTCCTCTTGATGCTTCTGCACAGCGAGCGGCTGAGCTTCGCCTTCCTGCTCCTTTTCGTGGAGGCCTTTGTGCTGCTGCACATCCACACATGTGCCAGAGGCCTTGCTGGAGATGCTGGTGAGTCTGGGCTTAGTAGAGCAACCACTGGATGTGCGAACTGGACCTGCACCTACACTGCATGTTGCCTTAATTCCACTGGGAGAAATTKGGTCCAGTTTTAAGTGCACTGATCCTCAGGATACTCTTAGCTTTTCTAGAGCTGCTTTAATCCTCTAGTAGAAGAAAGGTGCATGCAGCAGGGATGTGAATGTGGGAGGAGGAGGTCTTGGGTTAGGGAAAGGAGCTCTATACCCATCTCTTCTGTCTAGGATGTGAACAGTCAAAACAAAACCCACTGGTGCTGACAGAGTCCAGTAGCAGGGCCTCTGATGCCAGCAGAGGGAATACTGGCCCCTTGCTGTATCTGTGGTGGGAGCTGGACTGGCTCCTCTCTCCCAAAAGAGCCAGCATTGGAAGGGAACCTGGAAGAAAGGTCACTAGGCTCTTTTGGATTKTGGTGCTTGATGCTGATATCCTCACTCCCTGCCTTTGTTTTTGTCTTCTTATCTCTCAGAGCCATTTTCGGTGCCCTGGTATGCAGTCATCTCCTGGCTCCTTGCTGCTTCCCAGTTCTTCTATTCCACAGGCCACCAGCCCATCTTCCCAGCCATCCATTGGAATGCAGCSTTTGTGGGCTTCCACCTTGACCACAGCACGAACTTCCTGCCTGCTGTCCTGGTGGGCGCCAACACCTTTGCCTCCCATATCCTCTTTGCAGGTAAATCAATTTCTTCCTGGGCTATGGAGCTGGAAGCTGAGCATGAGGCAATAAAGGCTCCAGCACCAACTGAGCAGCACCATCCTCACTGTCCCCATATGGGGCCAAGGCAGCCTGGCCTGGAGCTGCGGTGTATGCTTCCTGTACATGCAGGGCAGGATGGCAGAGCCCAGACTGCTCCTCACCTCCTGGGCTCCAATAACTTCATGTACCTTTGTCCTTGAGGTAGTTGGCTGCCCGCTGCTCTTGCTGTGGCCCTTTGTGTGTGAGATGTCCAGCTCACAGAAGAAGAAGCCCAAGAAGGAGTCCCGGGAGGAGCTGCAGGAGGTGGAGGAGCACATGATGGAGATGAGGCTGCGGGAGTCTCCAGAGAAGTTCTCCACTGCTCTSTTGCGGCTGGGATTGAAGTACCTCTTTGTCCTTGGGGCACAGGTACGGGCAGAGGCRGGGTGGCTGTGGGAAAGGCTGTCTAGGAGGAAATTGGTGTGCTGTGAGAACTGTGGAGCACTCCAATGAGATAAAGGGTCAGACAGGCCCAGGGGTCTGGTTACAGGAGGAAGAGCAGGTTCCTTCTCAGCCATGCCCTTTGCTCTGTGCTTTGGGAAGGGCTGCAGTATGGAAGCTSCCATATGGATTAGGCTGCTTTTCATACCATGTGCCTAGGGTGGGAATGTCTGTTGAGGAGTTGTAGGGCTGTCATTCTATGCCCTGTCTTCCTGACCATTCCTGTCTCACACCAGCTCTGTTTTTCATATGTGTTGATGCTGCTGTGTTGATATAGGGTACTAAACACCAGAAAATGTAGTCCTGTGAAAGCAATTAATAGCTTTCTGGGATCTATCCTTTCAAATCACTCTCCTGTGTTGTCAGACCAGAGACAGTGCAACTGAGAAGCAAACCCTGCAGAAGGAGAGCAGAAGTGCCCCTCTCAGTGAAATAGAAGGTCAGGTTAGCCACAAYGTGAGCTCTCCTCTGTGCTGGCTAGCCCGGTCGCACAAGGGCCTGCATGTACCCAAGCTGCTTGTGTTTCCTGACTTGAGAACATCATGGAAGGAAGTCCTCTTTAGGMTGCTCCTTCCTGGTGTATGCTGCACCAGCCTCTCAAGTGTGAACAGTTTAGTACTACCTTTCAGATGTGAACCTACTGGCCAGGCSGTTTCTCCAGAGTCACTTGTAACTTGCTTTTCCTGATCTTCCCCACAGCTTCTGGCCTGTGTTTGTGCAGCTATGATCCTAAGGAGACACCTCATGGTCTGGAAAGTCTTTGCCCCAAAGTAAGTCCCARGAGTTGCTCTGATGCTGGGTTCAGGCTCATATCCCTGATATCTTGACTAGAGTTCACAGAGTAATGCTGGAAGATCCTGCGACTGATCTTCTGACTCATCCAGTAGTGGTTGTAGGATTGTCCCTAACTAATTCTTGCTTGAAATTCAGAAGCTAGACTTGGGCTGGGGCCTATAAATTTCTCCTCCTCTTAATTTGCAAGGAAACACAGAGCCCACCTGTAAGGTGAGAATATTSTGGTTGGAGAGCCAAAGGTAGGGATACCACATCATAAGTGGTAAACCCAGAAATGCTGCACCAGCATTTCAACCTTTGAACTACTCAGTGTGAGGGGTGGCTTCAGCCTCTGATGGTTTCAAAATCCCACCTGCGTCAACAGGTCCTGAGCAGCCTCTCAACCAGAAGAGTTGGCTTCCAGGTTTCAGGCAGTAACTGCTGGGGAGTGAATGTAATTYAGGTTTTAGATGTGGGATGCTACCAGCTTCTCATTGTCAGGAAAATCAGTCAGCTAGGGGCAGCAGCCTGTCTTTGTAGTCATGCTGGCTGTTGTATCCTTAACTGCATCTGTTGTGCCTGCAGGTTCCTCTTTGAGTCGCTGGGCTTTGTGGTGAGCAGYATCTGCCTCTTGCTGGGGATCTCGCTGGTGATGCGTGTGGATTGTGCTGTCAGCACCTGGTTCAGCCAGCTTCGGCTCAGGTAGCCTTGGAGACGTGGGGAGCCTGACCTGCTCGTTGGCTGAGGCCGTGTTTGTCTCCTTGCCTCGCTCAGGCTGGAAGGGATACATGAGCCACCAGCAACGAGTGCCTGCTGACAGCAGTCAGGGATTATACCCAGCTCCCTGYCTCTGCACTGAACAAAAGGACTGGAGCCAACTGTTCCTGGCTTATGGGGATGGTGTTTCTCAGCAGGGGAGGTCAGAACTCTGCTGGGCCTTTGCTGGCAGCAGGAGAACTCTGCTGCAGAAGCCCAAGATGCAAGAGTCCTGAAATGCTCCTCTGGAGAAACACCAATGAGAGTCTTGCTGCTACTTTCCTGACAACTGTCTCAATGTGTAGCTGGTAGGCTTTGGTGGCCTGCAGCTTGTCACCTTCACTGTGCAAACACAGTGACTCCTGGGATGGGGCCTGCTGAGGAGGGGAGAGGAGGTTGAAAGGGGAGGGAATGCCCCACAGTCACCACTTGTTTTCATGTGCTCAGTTTCCACACTGGAATCACACTGCACATGGTTCCATCAGATGGTTCCTGGAGCCTCGGTGGCAGCTACTCCTCTGTAAAGTCAGTCAGTTGCTCTGTAGTGAGGCTTCTCTTGCCCTACACTCWGTCCCATTTTCCTCGTCAGCGCAGTGAAGTGCAATGGGGAGCACTCTGGGCTGCCTTGTACAGCAGGCTTAGCTTGGGGCAGTAGTTGCAGGGACAGCTGTGTGCATGACCAAGARACTCTCAACTTCTATTCTCAACCAGTCAGGGTCCCTGTGGGCTCTGTGGTAGCAGCCAAGGCTCCTGACCTCTTCCTGAGCGTGTGCTGCTGGATGCTGATTGTTGACTGGGAACAATTAAGATGCAGGGGGATGTAGTGATATAGGAGACGGACTCACCCCCATAGTGGACCTGGCCAGCAGGAAAAGGGAGTGTCTGTCCCAGCTGCCGGAGTAGCCTTGGTGTAAGCTCCAGAGCCTGGGAACAACTACTTGAAATCCCTGAGCAGGCATCAATTCTTTTGGGAACTGGTTTAACTCACTGGTGTCTRTGCATGTGCTGGGGGCTATGGACTCCAGGCATTGTGGTCAACCACACCCATGATACCATGTTTGGTGCTTGTCTCCCTCTTGGCCTTGGTGTTCTCTGTGGGACTTCATGCCACAAGTGAGCTATGCCAAGCATGTCCTTGACTGCTTATGGTCAGTTGTCTTTCTTCATTTGTGGGCACAGTAGAGGATGGTGACCGTGTAGCCTGGCCACATCCTAGCCAAGTTCCTCCTGCAGTTTCCATTGGAGCTGGGATTTCTTACTGCCTGAACCACTGTGTGGCATTACTTGGTGCTATGAAATCTTTTGTCTCTTTCGCCTCTGGAAAGAGCCAAAGACTGCTTGCCTGGRATTTCTGCAATGATATTTGCCTGATCCCATTAATTTTTAACTCATGCACCATGACTGCCCCTGTTTGAATTCCTTACTGCAGACTGTTAGTATAACTCCAGGCTCTTCCTTTCCTCTGCCCTGCAGAGTCCCAGGGAAAATGTCACCTTTACCATGATTTCGTTTCTTGCTGTTTTTCCCAAGTTCCCGTTTGCTGTGGCTCTTGAGGGCAGGTGAAATTTTGTATTTTACCCCTGCAAAATGCCTGCTCAGGTAGGATGCAATTCCAGGGAGGCTTAAACTGCTCTAWTATTAGGTTTGCATTGCTTGACCTGCTCCAAGCTGCTGGCTGTGCTCTGCTACCTCAGCCTCTCATCTCCCCTGCTCTGTGGTCCTGCTCAGTTTCATGTGACATAACCAGGGACTGGTTTGTAGCTGGCATCAAGCCTGGCCTGCCTCACTGCCTGGATGCATAACACCAGTGCTAGGACAAGGAAGGGGTAGCAGCAAACAGTGGGAGAAGCTGGCAGCTACCGGAATGCATCAGCCCACAATCAGAATGGGATTAGGCAGTTACACCTTTAAAAGCAGGTTACTTGCTGAAAGCTGACTCCCTGGTGGCCATATGCTTCKGGAAGAGTGAGAGGTGCATTGATATGGGGAGGAGGAAGGGAGTGGAGGAAGCAGTTACCCAGTAAATTTTCATTTAATGTGAGGTTAATCTGGATAGCACATATTGCTAAATGCCAAGGCTGGAGCTCAAATAGGTCATGTTGTAACCTTATAACCTGGTCAGGAGCTTTCTGCCTGACTGTATTTGTGCTGGCAGAAGTYCCTGTGGTCACTGACAGTGTAGGACTGGCCCGTGACATCCCCACAGCTGCCACCCAGGCCCCTTGGCTTCCATCTCTGGGACTGGTTCCTCTTTCACTGGTCACTCCAGTGCAGCTAAGCCTTCCCATGCCCACTGTTCGTGGTTGGAGCACTCACACGGGGCTTGGGCATTCTCTCCTCACCCCTCCATGTCATCCCTCTGCCGTCGGTGTGGGCTCCTGGTCCCAGGAGACCAGAGAGGGCAGAGGGAAGAGCAGAGTGTAGCGTCATCAAAGGACACACACTTATCTTGCCACAGACGAAACAAAACTTGCAGTAGAAGAGCTGCAACTGCATTCTTGTCACTGCGGAAATGCCACGGAGTGCTGGCTGCTGGGACACGGCAGACTGGCTGCTACACCAAAGAATTCAGATTCATGAAGATGAGTTTTCAAAGGGCTGGAGATACTCTTGCTTCTTTGCATTGACTGTTCTAGTCTTTGTCAGCCTTCCTCAGCTGCCCTCAAGCTGATTGTTTGGCTGCCATTCTCCTGAGCATGCTGGGGATTACAGAGTTAATGCATGTCCAGGACTTGGACCTTAGAAGCAGAATATGCTGTTGCTGCTAGAGCAGGCAGGGCTATGTCTGCTTTAAAATCCCAGGAGGGGGTTSTCTGCTGGTCCAAGGCTCTTTGGGAAATCTGGTATGCTGGGGAGTCGGTTTTGCCCCACATCCCTCCAAAGAGGTTGTCGTAGGGCCCTGYTTGTCTCACTTGGATGAGTTATTCCAAGTGGTTTATTTCTGTTCCCAGTGTCCCTCRGCTGAGTGTGACGGGAGACAGAGTGCTCATCTGAGCAATTTTCATCGTGCACTCCACARTCTTTCTGCACTTTGGCCTTTCAAGTGTTGTGCATGTGTTTCTTGGCAGGGGATAGCACTATTGGGAAACTTCCCTGGCTCAGGCCCACAGGGAATGGYGTGTCCCATGGTCCTGGCACAGAACAAGGATTCAATTGTGTCTCTTTTGTGCTGCCTAGAAGATGACGACCAAAAGCTGCAGCACTATGAAGGGTTGTGGGTGGTGGGAGCATCCTGCAGCTCTGTTCKGTGGGACTGACACATCCCAAGGGATGGCACTGTTTTGGGGAGCTCAGCGCTCACTCCAGCTCTGTTCCCACAGCCATTCCTCTGACCCATCTCTCTCTGGTTTTCCCCCAACTCTTCAGGCTGCTTTTTTATGCCAAGGCACAGTCCCAGTCTCAGTGTGCATGTTCCCCCTTCCCCTCAGGAAGCAGCAGTGCCAGTGTGTGGGGAGCAGGGCTGGGGAGRGCTGCTCTCTCCTCTGAACCCTGACTCAGTGCATCACGTGACTTGGAGCTAGATTGTTGTTTTATTTTTTATTAACCTCTGTGTGCCTCAATCCCTCATTGGGGAAAAAAAAAAAAAAAAAGGGGATGGACCCAGTTGTGTAAAGCAACGTGGGAGCTCTGCATGCAGCATGGTGCTACACTTTCCTGGGTATCTACATATTTGGCTGTCAGCGCTTTCATTCACATCCAGCAGCTGCACCTGGAAGGTGGAAGCAATGCTCAAGTCTCTGCTTGGAGGCAGAGACTTTTTTCTTTCAAAAAACCTTCCAAAACAGGCAAGTTGGCAGTACTTGTTCACCTGGCAGCCACGGTCCTTGGGATTCCTGTCCCGCATCCAGCAGTGCTGGGTACAGAAGGACCTGCCTCCAGAGGCAGCCAGAGAGGTAGCACTCCATTATTAAATTRCATAATTAATTAATTAATCAGGAGTGGGGGGAGATGTGCGTGGAGATTTGCTGTCTGAGGGTGGTCTGGGGCTCTGGGTGGCTGTGAAAATGATGTCTTTAAATAAAACTGTGAGAGCCAGCTGTGTTGTCTCCTGCTTCCATCCCTCTCCCTGACTCATCCAGGGTCTCTTTCCTTGGGGCCCTCATCTACAACTTTCTCTTGAGGGGAAATGGAGGGTTAGGACTGATCTCTTCTCTGCAGAAACCAGTGACAGGACCCGAGGGAATAGCCTGAACCTGTGTCAGGGAACGTTTARGTTGAACTCTGGTCCAAGACTCTCGAGGTTTAGGAAAAATCTGTTCTCCAAGAGAGTGATCGGGCACTAGAACAGGCTCCCCAGGSTACGGGTCACAGCCACAAGCCTGCCRGAGTTCAAGAAGCGTTGGGGCAACGCACGTGGTGATGTTCTCGGGGTATCCTGCACAGAGCCGGGAGTTGGACTGGCTGATCCTGATGGCTCCCTTCCAGCTCGGGRTATTCTGTACTGATTCTTTGACTGGTAGCTTCGCCCTGCACAGAGGTTTGTCCCTCTGCGGCCGCCCCCTTGCCGGCGCGCGCCCCTTCGCTTCCCTGTTGCCTTGGTGACGGCCGTTCCCGCCAATCGGCGGCGAGGGCGGGAAAGCGGCGGCGGGCGATGGTGGCGGCCATGAAGCGGCGGCGCGGGACGGACCCGGAGCGGGAGCCGGAGCGGGAGCCGGAGCGGGAGCCGGAGCGGGARCAGGGCTGCCTGCAGGCCTGGGCCGCCCACAGCCAGGCGCTGGTCGGGCGATGGACGGTGCGGCACATCCCCTTCCTTCCGTCCGCTTCCTTCCCCCGACCCGCGGCGGCTGCCGCCGGTGCCGGTTCGCAGCCGGGCCGGCGGTAATTGCCTCCCTCGCAGGCGGCGCGGTGCAGCGGAGAGGCGCGGCAGTTGCGGCGGCAGCAGCGAGACGAGTTCGGGGAGCTGCTCATGAGTATCCGCGGTGAGTGGTGACCGCCGTGCCCCGCCCTCACCTCCCRCTGCTGCCCCGGGCCGAAGCGTGTGGGCGTTGGAAGCACCGGGTCCCGGACGCCTCTGTTTACCGGGATGCAGCTCCGGTATCCCGGGGACGGAAACAAATTTGTGAAGGGGGCGGCGTGAAACGGTCCCAGTGCTGAACGGGGCCTGCAAATGGGTTAATCATAGAATTATCAGGGTTGAAAGGGACCTCAGAAAATCAGATCATCCAGTCCAACACCCCTGCCAAGGCACGGTCACCTGCAGCAGGTGACACAGGAACACATCCAGGTGGGGTTTGAATGTCTCCAGAGAGGGACACTCCATGACTTCCCTGAGCAGCTCTTCCAGAGCTCTGTCACTCTCAACGTAAAAAAGTGCTTCCTCAAGTTGAGGTGGAGCTCTTGTGCTTTAGTTCATGGCCATTGCCCCTCTGGATGCAGCTGCAGTATGCCAGTGGTGGAAACAAACCAGGGTGAAATGGTCCCTGTTGCCCTATGCTGACCTGGGCCAGCAAAAAGTGTTACTGTCCAGCCCCAGCCTCCACCTTAATTTTCTAGGCATAACTTTACGGTTTCTGTAATAAAAAGTGAGACAGCCTTTGTCCTGGGGAGTCAGGGAAGGAGCTTCCTGACATGGGTATCGTGCAGAGAAAGCCCAGTGCAAGGCAGCCTGACTTCGAGTTTTCTCAGCTCCTYAGTGCAAGAGAGACATGGAGCTTCTGGAGAGGGTCCAGCAGAGGGAAATGAGGATAACTAGGGGCCTGGGACATCCGTCTTACGAGGAAAGCCTAGGGGAGCTGGGCATGCTCAGTCTGGAGCAGACAAGACTGAGAGGGGGCCTCATCAATGTCTGTCAGAGCCTGCAGGGAGTGTCAGTGGATGGATCAGGCTCTGCTCAGTGGTGCCCAGCGATAGGACATGAGGCAACGGGCAGGAACTGAGGCACAGGGAGTTCCACCTGAACAAAAAGAGTAACTTCACCCTGTGGGTGACTGCACATTGGAACCAATTTCCCAGAGAGGTTGTGGAGTCTCCCTTACTGGAGATACTCAAGAACCATCTGCATGCAATCCTGTGCCATGTGCTCTAGGATGGYCCTGCTTGAGCAGGGAGGTTGGACCAGATGAGYCGCTCYGGTCCCTTCCAGCTTTACCCATTCTGTGATTCTGTGATARGGAGAGAGACAGTGGGTGAAAGGGTGTGTATGTATTTGGACTATTGGGACAGAGTAGGCTGTTGATRCTCTTTTGGGAAAGCTGACAGACCTAAGTCCTGGAGGACTGCAGCATTTGGATAGCTGGGGAATGAATGTCTAAAGCAGTGTTGGCATCCAGAATGCTGTCTTTCTGGACACTGCAGTTCCCAAGYGACTAAATCACATCACAATCAGTAAAAAAATGCTTGCCAGGCCACTTCTCTTGTCACCAAGGCACATGTTGCCACCTGAGCATGGATGGCCGTTTACTCGTAGCCAGCTAAATTTCTTGTTGGGTTGGCTGTGCTCACAGGGCTGCCAGCTGCCCTCCCCACCCTGCCTCTGGAACTCACTGTCCTCTACAACTTCCTGCTTCTCACTGCGGGAACATCTGATTCTGCCATCAAAGGAGAAGCAGAAGGAATCCGCCAGGGACTCCTCAGGGGTAAGGATGTGGTTCTTTGTACGGGGAGTTCTCGGGATGAGGAGAGCATTCTCTGTACTCTGGAGATACTTGGTAATGGGCTGGAGATGGGGGCAACTGTGGGCAGTCATCCAGGCTCTGCTTGGAAGGGCTAGAGGTGGGGTGGCTTAAGGCCAGGGACAATGTGCAGCTTGCCTGCCTGCTGCTGCCTGCAGGGTTGGGCTGGAGATTTCAAGGGAAACAAGGKTTTTTCATGTGTAAGGTGCCAAGTCTCTACCCAAGTGTTAGTGACAGTAGAAAATTAGTGTTTTCTTTAATTACAGTGTGCTGGCTTCAAAGAAAACTCACTGAAATAGTCTGCATTTCAGAGGTGAATCTGCAGTGTTGGCACATGCTTACCTAAGGGCAAATTACTTCAGGAGGGCTCAGCAGAGCTGGAGTCTAGTTCTGAGTTTATTGTCTCCTGAGTGTGCTGCTGTCAGCTCCACTCTTTGAGAGCTTGGTTTCCATTCTGCTGATGCCAGGCCAGCCCTGCAACCCTATTCTTTCCATCCTATAAGGAGCCCATGCTTGCTTGAGGCTTTCTCCCACTCTTGCTTCCAGAGGTCTATTTCAGGGCACCAACCCATTGTCTCACAGCTGCAGATCTTTTTGCTTGGATTTTTTTTTTTCAGTTCTGGAGGCTTGTGGGGCCTGCAGACAGGATCTTGGCACGGAGGAGCTGTGGCAAAAGGTGCTGCAAGAAGTAACCGTGGAGGAGCTGCAGGCCCCTCTGCACCGTCTGGGGGCCCTGCAAGCAGCCTGGTGGCTGGCAGACTGCCGSCTTGGAAGTGTTACTGGCCTCTTCCAGCTCCTGAGCACTGCTGAGGTAACTGGGCACAGGCAGATGCTGGCAGAGTTGGCATAAATACCTTTTTTGTCATAAAACTCACTCTGCAAAATGTTGTTATGGCACTTGGACATCTGAACCCATCAGTGCTGCCCAGTCAGCATGACTAATCCTCCTCCGGTTTTCCAGCATAGCATAATGACCCTGAGAGCATTACTGAATCCCAGAATATTCTGCCAGTTGGGGCCCTGGACTACTGTGTCTGAGACAGGAGATTTGGCCATGCTGGAAGAGGGCTGCAGATGAACTTGCAGAGTCTGTAGGGAACAGCAGTGGGATGCAAAAGAACCCTTCCTGCTAATTGAGAGGCTGCTGATGGGTCCTACCATTTTGAATGAACTCCAACAGAACTTGGATCTGCCATGCCAGGAGGCCCTGGAGGGTCACCCCAGTCTGAGGTGCTGCCCCAGGCCAGGCAGGAATCATTGCAGTAAGGAGATTGTAGCTGAAGTGAGTCAATGGTACATTGACTGGTACTGGGACATTGCTCCCCAGTGCAGGGAGCAGCATCAAGTGGTTTGGTGGGACCTGTTTCTCTGTGGCCTTGGACCAGTGTTTCCTGCTTCCTTTCAGCATTCCCTGATCTCTCTCCTCTGYGCCTTCACAGGACCCAGAAAGAGCTTTCTGCAGTGAGGGTCAGAACAAGCTCCTGTCCCTGATCAAGGCATGGCAGGTCCCTGCTGAGGGGGCCTCCCTGCCCCTTGTACAGAGCACCAAGGACTTGAAGGAGATCCTCTACACTGCAGCAGCCTTCCTGCAAGGTTTGTGGGGGTCAGGTACTCATGCCAGCACAGTCTCCTGCTGCTCTGYCCCAGGACTGCTTTTCCTGTCCTTGTCCTGGTTTCTCTTCCAAGCAAACTGGCCCTTGGGGTTTTCTGGGCTGTTACTTTGGAAGAGGGCCTGGGCTGAGTCTTTGAGTTTCAGCTTTTACACTCCATGTTTAAAGAGCTTTCCTGCTTTTTCCCCCCTCCTTTCTCTGCACTATCAAAAGGCTTCTCTGCCTGTCTGTGACTTTCGTGAGGTGTCTGGGCCCTGCAGTGACCTTAAAGCAGAAGGCTGGCAGGCAATTTAGGAAGATTGTCCTTTCTTCTGTCTTCTGGCACCTGTCTCACTGCAAGGAACGTTGGTTTATGGTGCTGCAAGAGCCACACAAAGCTGTTGTAAAGCTCTGTAGCCTGGTGTCATAGCAGGCAATGGATCTCATCTGACTGCTGTGTTCTGTCCTGCTTCTTTTCTCTCCTTTGCTGCTTCAAGAACCCCAGCAGCTCTGGGGACAGCCAACGCTGCCTTGCTGTKCTTGGGCCTTCCTGCAAGGAGACAGGACAGGAGTTCTGGCCCACAGTCTTGGAACCAAAATACTCTAGGGTGGCACCAGCACTTCCAGCAGGGAGGTGGCAGATGTGAGTGTGATGCATGTATATAAGAACAGCCTCAGAGGGAAGCCTGAAAAGAAGACTGAAGGAAAAGCAAATAAGCAATTGTGATAAATATTAATGAATTCCCAGCATCCTGCTGGGAAATGACCCAGATGTGCTGGAAAGATTCCGAGGTTCTGTGTGTGCTTCCCCATCTGCATCATCATCATTGTGGAT